CTATAGAAATCTAGTAATATATAATATATTTATATAATAATAACCCTTAATATATACACATAATATAGCTGTGTCTATAAACAGAGAAATTTACTTTACGCTAACATGGGAGTTACTTTCAAAACATAGCACTCTGATGAAAGGCATTTCTGGTTTCTTTCCAGCTTAATAAAATATAAATTTTAATTTTTACTTTGCCTTTAGTTGAAATTTCCTGCTTTTCATCTGCTCAAATTCTGTTTTAAAATCTTATGTTAGAGGTGATCAAATTTATGAAATAGATTTCTAGGCTATGTTAAATCCATAGATTTTCCAAACACTTTAGTTCCAGAAATGTAGGAGGTACTGGTAACAGGCCACTAATATAAAATCCATTAGCAACAACTATATAAAAGCATCTTGCCCTGGAAAAAACAATATAAGCATCCATGTGGCGAGTTACTCAGGCTGGCAGCAGGGTGTCTGATTGCTGTGCCAAGGCTTACACCTGTGTGTTTATAGGGGCTTGATGAAATTCATGCATTTGCATTAATGCAGATAATGCTTATATAATTAACCACTCTACTTGGCTTTGCATTCATTAGTGACATATCAATGTAATATACACAGAGAAAACAAGATAAAGTAGTTTTTTACTTTGGCTCATGCATTGATATTACTACCCACACATCTGCTTTTGTCTAATCTGAGATGCCTATTCTAGTAGTTTCACATTAAATATAAATTATTTATTATTTATAATAATGAATTGTAAAATAAAGACAAGTAATTTATTGCTGTCATTTTAAAATGTTTTCTCAAAGTGCTTTATAGAAATATTATTCTGAAAAAAAGCTTTGGGTCAATGTTAGTAGCTGAGATGAGATTACTATATTGTGTGTAGCAGCTTTTAGGAGTTACAAAATTTCCTCTGCTTTTGTGCTTGCTTCTGTTTGGAACATCCTTTCGTCTTCACTTGTGCAGTTACCACTCATGTGTCAAGACCTATCATGGTTTTGTGGAAAAAGCAGAGGCTTCAAGACCAAACAGAATACCAGTTTCATGACTTACTAATTAGAGTTATTTTACCCAAAGTACCAGATGACCTTGAAAGGTTGCTTACGTTTCAGGTAGGTCTTCAGTGTTCACATCTGTAAAACTAACCTCATAATTACTCACCTCACATGGATAATGTGATCAGTAAATAAAACAGAAAGCACCAAGTACATATTTGATGCAGAGATGTTGAATTACTTTCATCTTGATTCATTCAACCAACACTTGTGCTATTTATAATCACAGCTTGTTATAAAGCAGCAGACCCAGACAGAAAGTGGCCCCTGCTAGATCAGCTGGTGGCCCCATGTCATCTCTGCTGCATCCTCAGTGCCATGTGCACACGTTCAATAATAATTGACGACAGAATGAAAGGGAAGCATCAGTCCGCTGAGCAGGGGCCTGAAGGCCCATTGCCTCACCTGTCCTTTAAGCCTGCTGGACTCTGCACCTGGTGTTCCTATGGAGCCTACAGTCCTGAGAGCTTCCTTAAGAGCACCTAGAGGAGCTCTTAGACTCAAGGAGAATTTATGCAATACTGCAAAAGTTGAAGATTAATATATGCCTGTTAAGAACAAGAACTATAAACTGTTAACCATACATTAATTTAATAATAAATATATACCCCAAAACTATAAAAATATCCCAACTGGCAGTTCTTCCTTCTGAAGCAAGTAGTACAAATATTTGATAACAGGTGTGACAATATGAATCATCTCTGCTGAGGTCTGCATGTGTTTTCTGCTGCCTTGTCTACACTTTGCTGATTGTTTACTATGGGCCTGCCTTCTCCTAGGCTGGTTCCCTCTGGAATTCCCTCTAAAACAGTCTGCAAATGCCTCCTGCTGTTTACTTTCAAACCTAGGAGGAGTGGCTTCTCACTATTAGTGTTCTCCACCCTGATGTATTAGTCATCTTCATATTTTATATACCACTCATGAATGGGGGGCGGCAGTGATATTCACTCTCATTATCAGCAGAGGAACTTCCTGTATTGAAATCTAAGTCACAAGTGGATCCTTCTGTGGGTGTCAACGTGGATACCATTACACCGCAAGTACTTCACCATTAAATATCCCACCAAAGGGCTGTAGCTTCAGAGTATTTAATTTTATCACATCCCATAGCTCACAGGCTACAATAGCAATCCCACCTTTTTAGTTATTGTTTATGCTTCTGTTTTATTTCTGTACCATAGTCCTAGTGCAGCAATTGTTCTTTTTTATGTATATACTTTAAGTTCTAGGGTACATGTGCTTCATACTCAGCCCTTAGCTCAGGGTCCCACACATAGAGGGCCTCAGTAAACAATTGTCCCAAGAATAAACAAATAATCCTCCAAGTGTTATAGAATTTAGGAGGCAGATGAGCTTCTGTATCTGGACCCTTGAGATGAATGTGCATTTATTCAGCCTTGCATATATTTTATAGCTGGAACGTACATAATTATTTATCCTTTGGTGATACTTAAACTGGAAGATGATTCTAAGAATAATAATGCAACTTATTTCTCTGAGCTTCATCACACCCAGCTTTTCAAGTGGAACTAAAATTAGTAATGAGTATTGGAAACATTGCCAGTGAACATATGAAAGGAAGGCATTCAGCTAATTTGGGGCTACCAGAAAATGCTCTGCCAGGCCTCCTGGATAAATGGGGAGTCAACCGTGACAGCTGCCACTTGAAAGTGTCTTCATTGCGCCAGTCGCTCCTCACGCATCCTTTCATTTAGTCCTCACATTATGTGGTGTAATGTCTTTAGTAAGCTCATTTTATGGGTAAGAAATTAGGGTTGTGAGGTTAAATATCTTGTCCTAGATGACAAAGTTAATGAGTAATAGAACCAGGATTGGAACCCATGTAAATCTGTGCTCTTTCTGTTACTACACCATTCCCCAGATGAGTTTCTTGTCTGCCTGTGTGAGCCTCTGCTTAATGCTGCTGTTTTGTTCTTCTCCACTCCTGCTTTTGCTCCTGTCCTCATTTGTTTCATGACTAGGTTCATTTCATTGATCGTATTTTTTTTCCTTTTCCTGTTTGAATGATGGGAACACAGTTGGCCAGTTCTTTGATACTAAGCTGTGACAATCACCATCCTTGCTTGAAGAAGTCCTTGCTTCTTTGTATCTCTCATTTGGCTTGACATCAAAGCTGAAAAAGGTTACTGATGACGGTATGAACCTTTTCAGTATGCAAATTATGTAATGGCACAAACGACTTTATATCAGTATAATAAAGTTCTTAACGGTTCATTTTTATCGCTGCCTGTTCAATATGTCAAGCTGTAAAATAGAATATTTTAATTTACAGGAATGACTCAGATCTTGAAGAATGAATTTGAAAATACTGAATTCCAAAGTGCAAACTCTGCCATAGGGTGTGGACTTCTTGAGGACAGGGGTTATATCCTGTAGGTGAGGTATCCCTGGTTTCCACACAGGGACTGCCTGCAGTAGACCCCAGTGATGATTAAAGATACATTATGAAGGCGTAAATAAATGCCTACCTTGGCCTTTAAACTTGTGATGTTTACCATTTTTTAAGAACTGTACAAGTTGATAAATACTGTTTGACTAACCTTAAGAAGCCAGTACACTTTTTAAGAGACATGTTGGTTATATTTTAAATAAGTATAACGTACCAAAATATGGTGGGTTTTGAGTTATACAAATAATCCAACCTACATATATTTAGTTACTATAAAATAATTACTAGGACAGTTAGTGATAAATGCTATAAAGAAAAATAAGGCAGGCCAGGTGCGGTGGCTTATGCCTGTAATCCCAGTACTTGGGAGGCCGAGGTGGGAAGATCACTTGAGCCTAGGAGTGTAAGACCAGCCTGGGCAACATAGCAAGATCCCATCTCTATAGAAAATGTTAAAAATTAGCCAGGAATGGTGGCACACACCTGTAGTCCCAGCTGCCTGGGAGATGGAGGCTGGAGGATTACTTGTGTCTAGGAGTTGGAGAGTGCACTGAGGTATGAATGCACCACTTCACTCCAGCCTGGCTGACAGAACAGACCGTGTCTCTTTAAAAAATAAATAAATAAAAAATGAGACAGAAATGAAAGGAATGGATGGGTGTTTATTACTTAAAATATGATGGTCATGTCAAATAGATGAGTAATATTATAATGCAAAATATTTGGACATTTAAATACAAATATGTAGAATTTATACTAAGGCAGATATCATAATTGTACCCATCTGAGCCATGAGGGTTGTTTCTGGCTATCCCATTTCCTTTTCATAATGATTTTAGAGCCAACAAGATTACTTCAGAGGGATCTTTTCCTACCTTTTTGGTGAGTAAAATAATGGATCAGCTGTTCACTGATTCTTTCTCTTCTTCAAGCTTGAGCTCTTAAAACAAGCACATGCAATTTGGAATAAGAATTCAAATTTGAACATTTTAAAAACCACTAATAGAAACATAAAACTACTAGTTTTAGAGGTACTATTAGTGATGGATGGTATCAAACAAATGCTATTTTTAATTCTCATTGTATGTTTTAAACTGAATTTCATATGAAGACATTTTGGCTAAAATGAGTGAAGTGTGTAGGTGTTGAAGTTTTCTATAAGATGAAGTTGAAAATTTTGTTAAAATGGATAACCAAAAATACAGTTTAAAACTCAGATCAGATTTGCATGCATATTTGTAGCTTTTCACGCTGAAATGAACTCAGTTCAGTATTAGCTCAGGGTTCAAGTTCAGTGTTGTACTAGCCTTACTGCACTTGGAAAGTAATACTATTCGCATCTTGTTTTAATCATTATGCGGGGATGCATGATTTTATCATTTTTCACATGCACATTTGAAGTTGAGTAGTGGAAAGTCAGATAAAAAAGCGTTTGATATCATCATATCAGCCTGTTTTAGGAGAAGAGCCTTGTGCATGAATGCAGGAGGGTGTCTAGTTGTCAGGTGTAATCTCATGTCTGAATATTCCCTTTGCAGATGATTCAGTCCCTCAAGGCGTTGATTGAAAATGCAGATGCTGTATATGAAAAGATTGTACATTGTCAGAAGGCAGGTAAGTGAAAGTTTGTTTCCTCTCTTTAAAATAAAATTAATAGCATCATATATTTTGCCCCAAAACTATTTCATTTTTTGGATGCTATATCAAGAAAATCAAATAAGAAAATTGTTTTTCTACAGCTAAAGAAAATACCAATTCAGTGGTTCTCAGCCTTAGGTAACAAACTCACCTGAGGGGACCATTCAGAATACATCAACATTGGTCTGAGGTGTGGGGCTGGGAATTAATAACGATTTTAAATTCCCAGGTGTTTCTAATGTACAGCCAAGATTGAGAAACTCTGCACTAATCTCTTCTTCAGTGTTAACTGTGTTGCCAAAGCTCCTGCTGGTCACCCATGACTCTAGTACACAGTAGAATAGGTAAGGCTTGAGCAGAGGGAGAATGGCTTCTTGTAAAGGAGATAGGTACCAGTTACAACCTCCTGACACTTTTTAACACACGGGCATTTTCAAGTGCTGATAAATTCATTAATTTAACATCCAAATATTATACCAGATTATAAAATTCTTCTTATGTAAACAATCATCCAGTTAATTTTAGCTGTGGTAAAACCAAAAAATTCGGTATTCTGCATCGTAATAAAAATACACAAAATGGAGTTCTTTTAATTTTCTAATGTTTTGAGTGTTGATTTGGGAGATTCTAATATAAAGAATATTTTCAAGTCATAAAAAAAAAAAAAAACTGTCCTGACTTTCTAAGGCTTTTTGGTTGCTATTCTTTTAAACTAAGAAACTAAATCGCCTACTCTGAAAAAAAAAAATCCCTTATCTCAGAAATGAACTTGTTTAAAATAGATCAAAGATAAATATATGTGTGACATTTTTTTCCAGTATCTATTGAAAGAATATTCATATTAGTGACTAATCAACAAACTCCACAATCCCCATCTTGTTTTACTAATCTTGTCAGCAAATGTTATTAGCAGAATGATCTTTCTATTTCTAGTCCTTTCCAGGCTAACTCTCCCTACAATCTACATTTAAAACAAGTTCTTCAAACACAATTTTTATCATGTCACTGTCCTGTACAAAATCATCCAGTTGCTTAGCAGGGTCTCTGGTAACAAATCTAAACTCCTAACTTCGCCAGGAGGAGTGAGGTCATCTACCAACAAGCCCACCATTTTGCCAATATTATATAAAATTTATTAAATCATCTGTTCATTCATTTAATAGATGTGTTTTGAACTTCTGTATGCATAAGGTACATGGTAGCCCTTGCATACCAAAACATGAAAAAACAATGATTGGTTACCTTCTGGAGCCTTCAAATTGAACAGGAGATATAGAAGTAAACACAGTAAATATATTGAATACTTACCGTGTGTTACTCAGGAGTCTCAAGTTGGTGTGTGAGGCACTGGGGAGACATTGGTGTTTATGTAGAACAGGAGAGGGCCTGAGCTTTCAGGTACTGACCATAATAGCTGTGTGCAGAGAATGTCCCTGGGCAGACCTGATGGGAGGCAGTTGACAGTAGATAAGGAAAGTGCTTCTGGAGAGTGAGGAAGGAAGGGAAGGGATGGTGAGCCATCCACCCTCTGCTTTGGGCTGCCTGTCCCCATTCCCTGTGTTTTTACTTAATCAGATTTTCACATACCACTCATCTGCTGAGACTTCTTTCTCTGTCCTCTCTGCCAATCTGTACTTTCTTCTTTTTCAATTATCTCAACAGTCTTCTAGGAGACCTTTCAAGATTCCAGGATTTATGTTACCTAAAGCATTCTATTGAGCCCTTTAAACCTTTAATTTGCTTCAGTTGGTAGGGCTTCTTCAGTTATTGTGTATTTTATTAATGCATTCCATCTTGTAAACAGGATAATAACCTCCTAAAGCACTAAGATTGTATATCAAGTTGCTCTCTGTATCTTACGCATGACATCTGTTCTAACATTCTGCGCAGAGTAGTTGCCCAAATATTAACTGACTAAATATGATTTGATTTTAATTATTTGATTCCATTCAATGCATGTATTGCTATGAAAATTATGACCTTTGTGGAATTTGAAAAACTGTTTATCAGAAAAAAAAACTATTCAACGATTTGAGTTATTGTCAATTCACTGGTTTATGAAATTTGATAATTTTGAGTATAATGTGGCTTTCTGTTTATGTTTGATTTCAGTAAGAGATACGTGTGCTTGTACTTAAAAAGCTGAAGAATCTTATCTATTAGGGATTTTGATTAGGATAGGGGAAGAATAACCACTGTGTAATGGTTCAAGTTGCTCTGGGTTTAAAGATCTTTAGAAGCATATAAAGATTATCTTTTGGTTTCACAGTTACTGCTGAACGCCTACACAGCCCTTCTGTTATACCAAGTACTTATTTTAGAGTCCCTTGATCTTTTGTTTCTCATGTTTACAATTATGGTAAGGACATATAGTCATTAGTCATATGAAGAATTGCTAATTTATATTGGGCTCAAAAGACATTTGCATAAGATCTTACTTTTGATAAGTAATTGTTACTCTGCTTGCCAACAGATATAGGTCACCAAAGTGCTGCAAGAAAGGATTATTTTCGATGTATTTCAAATGTTAAAGCACAAACATATATTTTTATTAGTTAAAACCTCATTTAAATAATTGAATGGAAATAAAGAGTCAGACCTCCACCTCCAAACACGTTAAAAAGCGTCCCCAGTTCAGAAGGGTTCAGGCTTCTGGCTGTGTAATCTATTTTTTACATAGGGACATGCGTATGCTGATGTTAGTACTGGGAAGAGGAAGCGTGGCAGGAGAGGAGTACTGAGAAGTGAAGACCTCCAACCAAGGTAGGCTAGGAACTTATGCATCCCAGTAGTGGAGGACCCAAAGGGACTGCGGAAAGAGCAGTGGGAACAACTCAGAGATGCGCAGTTGGAGGCAGCCTGCCTGCATAGTCCTCTCTGTTAAGAAGAGAATGCGGTAGCAGAGAGAGTTGGGGTAAAAGAGAAATTTTAGTAATAAAACCATGTTGCTGGGATTATAAACGACCCAGTGAAGAGGAAGACATTAATAGATGAGACAGAGGTTCAGGATGAAAGATGTGAGGTCAGGAATGAAGTACAGTCATGAAACACTTGACCTTAGAAAGGGAGAAAGGCTCCTCATCTGAGATAATACAGAAAGCCGTGACATTTAGAAAAATTCTGAAAAAGAGAGGAGTGTTTTCCATTGATGAGGTAAACAAGGAAGTGGTGTCATAGGAGAACACCAACTTCGGGGGTGAGGAAGTGAAAGCGGGGATTCAAGACAGGGGCAAGAGTATGGGGACTTTGCTCAGAGTCAGAGATCAGCAGTGCCAGCCAAAGGGACTGATTAAATATCAGATCCTGCTGGGGTGATGGGATGCGTGAGTCTGGGCCGCCATGGGAGTGAGAAGTGATGTGGCCATATAAGAATGGGTCTTTATAATTCAAACACATGCATACACGTTCTCAAGTAGGGGATTGGTAAGGAACACCAGCAGGAGAGCTGAACAGGAATCTGCAGAGGGAGAAACATCATGAAAGTTCATTTGTTAGACATGTATAAAAGTTGGGAAAAGATGTGTCAAATTCTTTCAGGGCAAAAGTCTTTTCCACTTTCTAACACCTATGTCTTTGTCTCTTTCAATGCCAAAACTGTAACCCATTTTTGTATTATAATTTCCTTTCTAGTCGCTGAATTGGTATGCTTAATAAAGGATAGGAAGATGATCAAGAAGGAAACCCAAACTGCTTTCCCTCAGTGAGCTAGGTGTTTCTGTCAGGTGATTTTAAATGAAAAATAAATTGTTCTCTGGAGGAGGAAAAAAGCAAATCAATGACATCCTGTTAAAGATGATGAATTAACAAATGCTTTTAATCTCTACTCTAAAACCTCATTAAAATGACAGTAAAGGGTTTTTTTTTGGTTTTTTTGTTTTGTTTTTTTTTTTTTAAAGCCACAAATCCATAAGGACAAAGAAAACGGGAGCAACAAAATTCTAGAAACTGAGTAACAGCTGAACAAGTGATAATTGGCTTAGCTACCCACTCAGGAACCTGAATCTAAAGCTGGTCGTGGGGGGCCTGACACAGCCTGACTCACAGGCCAGGCATCAGCTCAGATCTAACCTGGTGACCGGGTACCTCTGGGAACTGGGATAAAGCTAGTGATAAAAGAGAGAAACTGTCTGGAAGCTGGATTAATTAACACTTAGATTTCTGTGTCCTGACAGTAGGGAGGTTAAAAATAGCAAAATTCCCATCCTTCATATGGGGAATTTAATAGATGATGCTTGAAAAACAATTCTAAGTAAACAATATAAGCATGTTACTTAGAAATATGAACATAAATACTAAAGAAGGGAAATAATCAGCTAAAGGTGTTGAATGTGACTGCTTCTAGGGAGGGAGAATTGTGGACAATTATTTGGTTCTTTATGTACATGCATAATTCTAGTAAAAATAAAAACTAAATTTGAAGAAAAAAAAAAGGAAGGAATCAAGGGACAAAAGCTGCCGCAGGAACTGAGGATGTTCCCAAAGATGTGATCCCACGCCCACAAAGCCTGGGACAGTGGCAGGTTGCAGAGGGGCGGAGAGCCTGCAAAGGACCCCTGCTGGCTTCCCTGTGTTCATGGGCATGCCCCAGGCAGAGGTGATGCCTGCATGCCTGGGAGGATGAGAGCCTGGTTCCTCTTTTGGCAGGAGAATCTGTTCTGTGCACTTTCAGAATGACTGTTAGGAGGGAGGATCAAACTAAATGAAAGATGACCCAGCCCTCCCCAGACCTCTTTAAATGGAAGCTTCTTTGCTAAAAGCTCCAACGTATTTTCATGCATGGCCAGGGTTGCATCATCACTGAGTAAAGTGGGATCGAAGAAGATAACTTTCCTAATAATAAAAGCTTCAATTACCCTTCATTTTAATCAATTTAACGGGAAATTTTCAGTGGATCTTTTACATCCCTGCTTTCTTAAATTTGATTTGCCAAAAATAATTTGAACATTTGTTTTGAAGACCCAGGATCATCTTGAGAT